CTTAGTGGTTTCAGAGGTTAAAACGGGTGTATCTTGGAGATGTTGTTGATGTGAAGTTTTTCTTTCTTTCTTTCCTTCTTTCTCTTTCTTTTTTTTCCTTCTTTCTTTCTTTCCTTCTTTCTTTCCTTCTTTCTTTCCTTCTTTCTTTCCTTCTTTTCTTTCTTTCCTTTTTTTCCTTCTTTCTTTCTTTCCTTTTTTTCCTTCTTTCTTTCTTTTCCTTCTTTCTTTCTTTCCTTTTTTTCCTTCTTTCTTTCTTTCTTTCCCTTTTTTTCCTTCCTTTCTTTCTTTCTTCTTTTTCTTTCTTTCTTTTTTTTCTTTTTCTTTCTTTCTTTCTTTCCTTCTTTCTTTCTTTCCTTTTTTTCCTTCCTTCTTTCTTTCCTTCTTTCTTTCTACCTTTTTTTTTTCCTTCTTTTTTTCCTTCTCCATTCTTTTTCTTCATTGTTCCCTTTATTTTCTTTCTTTCTTTACCCTTTCTTTCTTTCTTTACTTTCCTTCCTTTCTTTCTTTCTTTCCTTACCTCTTTCTTTCTTTCCGTTCTTTCTTCTTTCTTTTTCCTTCTTTCTTTCTTTCTTTCTTTCCTTCCTTCTTTCTTTCCTTATTATCCTTCTGTCCTATTTATCCATCTGTCTATTCATTTTTCTTTCCTTCTTTCTTTCTTTCCTTTTTTTTCCTTCTTTCTTTCTTTCCTTTTTTTCCTTCTTTCTTTCTTTCCTTTTTTTCCTTCTTTCTTTCTTTCCTTTTTTTCCTTCTTTCTTTCTTTCCTTTTTTTCCTTCTTTCTTTCTTTCCTTTTTTTTCCTTCTTTCTTTCCTTTTTTCCTTCCTTCTTTCCTTTTTTTCCTTCTTTCTTTCTTTCCTTTCCTTTCTTTCTTTCTTTTTTTCCTTCTTCTTTCTTTTTTTTCTATCTATCTATCTATCTATCTATCCTATCTATCTATCTATCTATCTATCTATCTATCTATCTATATCTTTTATCATCCAGTATAGCATCAAGTCAATGAAACTCTTGGGATATTGATCTGGTCAGGTAAGTAGCAGTGGGGGGTTGTTAATCAGTTTCAGCTGCTTTGTTGTTAATGAAATGCACAACAGGAGCACTAGATGGGCAACAATGAGATGACCCCCAAAACAGGAATGGTTTTACAGGTGGAGGCCATTGACATTTTTTTTCCCTACTCATCTTGTTTGACTGGTTTTCACTAGTTTTGCATTGGCTAGGGTCAATGTCACTACTGGTAGCATGGGCCATACCTGGACCCTACAGAGGTGGAAACAGAAACAACCTCTCCTGTGCTCTATGACCCAGAGCAAGGGTGGATGGTTGGAAAGAGAACTTGAAAAATGTGACCACCAATGCATAGAAGATTGCACAGGCAGAGGTTTGCAGAGGTTTGCACAGGCAGCCCAACTCTTCCAGGATGGCACATCAATGCATGCCATTGCCCGAATTTTGCGGTGTCTCCCAGCACAGTCTCGAGAACATGGAGGAGATTCCAGGAGACAGGCAGTTACTCTAGGAGAGCTGGACAGGGCCATAGAAGGTCCTTAACCCATCAGCAGGACCAGTATCTGCTCCTTTGTGCAAGGAGGAACAGGATGAGCACTGCCAGAGCCCTACAAAATGACCTCCAGTAGGCCACTGGTTGGAATGTCTCTGACCAAACAATCAGAAACAGCAGGTTCTCCTTGAGCACAAGTGACAGACGTGAAAGGGTCTGGAGAAACCGTGGAGAACGTTCTGCTGCCTGTACCATCGTTCACCGTGACCGTTTTGGCGGTGGGTCAGTGATGGTCTGGGAAGGCATATCCATGGAGGGACGCACAGACCTCTACAGGCTAGACAATGGCACCCTGACTGCCATTAGGTATCGGGATGAAATCCTTGGATCCATTGTCAGACCCTACACTGGTGCAGTGGGTCCAGGCAGTTCCTGGAGGATGAAGGAATTGATACCATTGAATGGCCCCCACGTTTGCCTGACCTAAATCCAATAGAACACCTCTGGGATATCATGGTTCATCCAACGCCGCCAGGTTGCACCTCAGACTGTCCAGGAGTTCAGTGATGCCCTGGTCCAGATCTGACAGGAAATCTCCCAGGACACCATCCGTGGTCTCATTAGGAGCATGTCCCGACATTGTCAGGCATGCATACAAGCACGTGGGGGCCATACAAACTACTGACCATTCTGAGTTGCTGCAATGACATTTCAGCAAAGTGGACTCACCTGCTACATAATTTTTTCACTTTGATGTTCGGGGTGTCTTTGAATTCAGTCCTCTGTAGGTCGATCATATTAATTTCCATAAAACGATGGGGCAACCTTACGTTCCTAACACATTACCCCGTCCATGTCAGGATAGAGATCCAGCAGGAAATTTCTTTTTTTTTGAGATCTAATGCATTTTCATCTCTCTCTCTCTCTCTCTCTCTCTCTCTCTCTATCTATCTGTCTATCTCTCTGTCATAATGCAGTGGTTTAGGTTTAGTCTTCCCCTATCTAGGTAAATGAATATAAGCTGAGCGGTTTCTCCTGCGCACTTTGTATGACAACTCGTCCATATATTGACTGGCATTGTACCAGCACAGGGCACGGCTCTGCAATCTGCTTTCTGCTGAGACAAGCAGGACGAAGTACAGAAAATCCCCGATGACATTTAACAGAAGGCAATGTGCCGCAGTTTATATCCGAAGCAACAGCGGCATTGCCTGTATCCCCGAGCACATACATCACAATGTTCTTTCACGATGTGTTGTAGACATTAAAGTGTCGGTTAAATTTACACCCGAGAATCCTTACAGCACAAGTCAGCATTATCCAATCACATTGTTATTCTGAGTGCAGAGTATCTCTTTCCTTATCCCAAGCTGCCGAGCACCCTCATGTGACCTGTAGCCTAGGCAAGAGATCACATGGTCTTTGGCTACCTGGATCACTGTGGGTGTCTCCCATCATTGGGGACTGCATTGAGTCTATTGTTTTTAAACAAATGATAATTGGAAGACTTACAGTAGAATGAGAGTGTCAGCTAGACCCCCCAGCCCCCCCCCCCCCCGCCTCTCCACTTTGTCCAGTCAGAGAAGGCTTTCTCTGAATGATGGCTGTACCAAACAGCTGAGCTCCGGTGTTCACAATGCAGCAGGGCGGTGGCTTGGTGCATGACCTGGAAGCAGGGGTGTCTTCTTCATTGATTTCCAGCTTCCATTGTCCGGGTACGGTTTATTCATAGTTACGTAGTTATGTTGGTCCAAGCTGGGCCAATACAACTATGTATAAAAATATTCATACCTAGAATCCAGCTTTAAAACACTATGCATGGGCAGCTGCTCCTTCTGGATTTATTTATTTATTTTTTGCCCACTTGGCCTGGCCCTGTACCCCAGTGTAATGTTGACCTACAGGCTCTAGGCCCAGGTGTGCGCTGCAGGTCACCATCACAAAGAAGATCAAGGCAGCAAATAATACATATTCTTACCTCCCGTGGAAAAGTCAACACAGGTCGAGAGAGGAGAGACCGCGATGCAGCTCAGAAGAGGGTGTAACGCTACCCCCTTGGGAGCCACTAGTTTTGGGTCCCCCTATTTTCCTGTATGGCCAGGCAACACGCCTTTTCCAATTTTTTATCCAGAGTCAGCAACCAGTCCATGGGCTTGTTTTTTGTTGTTTTATTTGGGGATAAACAACTTGGATAGGGGTATATGGGATGCCCAACTTGACTTGAAGCAATACTCTGCGGACAACTTCCTAAATTCTGTACTAAAATGCAGGATCCTGGACTTTCTACTGTCTCTGGAGTGGCAACAGTCTCTTAATGGATCAGTAACGCAGTCTCTGTGAGGAGCACCTGGTCTACTCTAAGTGAATCTCTTCAGACCCCAGATAGGAAATGCCCATTCGACTGGCTATTTTTGAAGAGTATCCCGGATCAAGAGATTCTTGTAGCACTGTCCCAGGGAGAACTGGTTAATTATAGCACTTAGCAGACCTCTTTCCTGTAGGCCCTGGTGGTGTAGAGGTACTCACACTATCCTTGTGTCCTGTAGCTTTGGAAAAACTGCTTTCAGGCTTTTGCTGGGCTGGTTTCCTTCCAGGCTAATAGGCTGTCCTTCCTTGTTGGACTGTAAGTCAGTGGAGCTCCCTCTGTCAGCTTCCTTTCCTTCTTTCCTCCAGCCTTCAGCCTGGTTTCAGAACCCCCCTTCTCCAGGGTCCCCTCTCAGGCTACACAGCAGCACACCTCATCACTCCATCTCCATCTTCCACCGGACTCCCTTGCTGCCTAGGCTCTTTCACATATACGGGGCCTGTCTTCCCACACTGCCAGGCCTCCTGCCTGGGATTGTTCAGACTCCCACGAATATGCAGATTTGGGTCTCCACCCCTCTGCCCACTAGCTTCTAGAATTTTCCATAGACCTTCAGAACCAGGGGGAAGTGATAGAGGCCCAACCTGCTGAGCCATCCAGTCTGACCTGAGCTTGACATCTTGTCTCACACCAAGACTTCACTACCAGCAAGGCACTACACACGTATCCCAGTAGAAGAAAGATCATGGGCTCGATTCAGGGGAGAGAGTAGTTCAGCAGCCAGTGAGGAAGGCCCTAGGGCTTAGCACAGGGTCCCCCTTCCTCCAAACGAAAACCAATCATCTCGGTATTTACTTGCCTCCCACCCACTATCTGGGCACGTCTCCCCAGGGATTGGCTGGAGCATGGTAAAAGCTCAGCTTGAGCATTTGCATTTCCTGCACCAAACTCTGATTCTCAACAAGGGGAATCAATCAAATCCTCATACTTTGGAGCTAGAGCAGGCAAAAGCAACAAATCACAGCTTCTCTGGTAACAAAGCAAGCCACACTAAGTTTATCTGGCATGC